CTTAGTAAAATTGGTATTATAAGCTGTAACCTCCCAAAAAAAGCTGTACCAAACTTTTTGAACAATAAGATTCAAAAAATCATTTTTCACATGTAAGCAAATAACACCGAATAAACGGCAAGGTAAAGACTATGTCTAATTATAGTAAATACGTACTGCGTGCGTGACTCGAACCGGCGCTCACGTACGGCATCAAATCGCCTAGCTTCACGCCACTACACGTCTTCCCCTCGGCCACCGGGCATCCCCAAAAAAGGATGCTTAATAACCGAGCTTATTACGTGCAGAGAACATGAAACTCGTCCACGCGATACGCGCCACACAGCATGGCCAGAATGCGGCAAAGGCCTTCAGATCTGGCTGTAGTAGAATGGTGAAAGTAATGGTACAGCATTGTAACAGTGAATAAGTACTGAGAAATAATTCTAAACTCATAGTTGCTGTCGACATAGGAAGTAAAGTAAGCAAATAACACCGAATAAACGGCAAGGTAAAGACTATGTCTAATTATAGTAAATATATATATTTTTCACATGTGTGGATTGCAACAATACAAGCCGCTTTGGCATCCTCTCTGTTGGACTGCACCATTTTAATAGAAGCTGTGATTTTACAGTGATAAAAATCATATGAAACACTGGGGCTATGTGGTACCAAATGCATGGGGTAAAATGTAAAAGATATTCAGTCTAGTATATACACAGTGACACATTAAGTGGCATGTCTAGCGATGGGTCACAAGATAGTTTATTGGTGGCCTGATTTCCAGTTTTGATATTTCTGACCTTTTTATTTACGAAATCTCCACACACATACAATATATTATTATAATTAGGGGATAAAATCACTTGTATAATATTCATAGTCACATATATTAAATTTACTTCTACGTATATAATGCCATAAATGTTCAAGTTATTTCTAAAAAATATATGGGTCAAGTGACATCCAAATTGAAGTGCACATTTACTTAAACCATTTTGTTTTTGTAACAAAATTGGTATAGGTACAACTGAGAAATAAGAACAGGCAGGGTATTAGACAAGTCTCACAACACGCATGATTTACATATGTGGTTTTGATATGCTTATATCCTGGTGAATTCTACAAATTTGACATAAACACTATGATGTGCCATTACACTGGCAGAAATATTTACCGATAGTTTCTGTAACACATGATTCACAGTACAGTTGAACACTTGAGCATTCAAGAGAATGGTTGGAATCTGCAACTATAAGGTCAAGGTACCTTTTGTACCAATTTGCATTG